TGTTGGCGACGGCGGAGTTCGCTACAGCTACTCCTGCTTCGCGCATAGAGGATGTGGTAGAAGCAGCAAGAGTGCTCCTCACGTATTGCCGAGAATACTGCTGCTCAGAGCTGATCAAACTGGTCGAACACATCGTTGAGTTCATAGAAGAAACACTCATGAGAGTTAGCTGGAGTCAAAAAGAGCTGTCGACACTTGTTTACTGGGTAAACGATGTTTTAGAGGACTTTAGAAGTGTTGCAGAAAGTGATGGTGACTTAGCAAGTGATAAGACGCTGCTCAACGGATGATAGGCTTCTGAGGGATCTGATGTTCGTGAAAGTACATCAACACGTCAGCGAGATCAAAAACGAGAGATTAACGGATGAAGGTTGAACAGGGGGAAGAAGCGCGCACCAACTTACCAGTTTACTCCTCGGCAGGACGGAAAAAGGCGTCTCGGTTGGATATCGAGGGACGTGCTGGGCCAACTTCCAGTACAAACCGAGCCAGGCTCGGGCAAGGCTAAGAGTCTGTGTATGCGTTACCTTTCAAAGGCAGGCTGTGCACCCGACGCAAATGGCGCGTGCCCCAGTGATCATGGTCATTTTGCTCCAAATAAGCTGCCGGCCTGCGTGAAAGAAGAGATCACTAGACGATTTGGTGGCTTGAAGGAGGAGCACCGACAATTATGACTATCCAAGATCAGCGGGGCAGTACGGCCATCTTTGCAGCTCAAGTTCGTGGCAGCGGCCCGAAATCGACCTGAGAAGCAGCAGAAATCGGTATGCTCACGCCTTAACTCGGACGCTACCCAAGTGAATGGTGTGTTGAGTAACGACCGATTCACTGCGGTGGACGTGTCCCACAAGACTGCATCGGACAAGGTATTATCAAGTCTGCACCCAAAGAGGACTGCTAGCGTCAACGCAGTATCAGAGAGCAAGCAATGCAAAATTGGTAAAACGATGGTGTCAGCAAAGAGCAAGGGTGACAAAGTACGCTGTCTCAAAGTAGCGGGTCACGGAGAATCCACTTTACCCCAGAACGAGATACTTAAGCGAGATACAAGTACTAGTCACCAGAGGCCTTGTAGACATCCAACTATTGAAGCAAAGAGCACGATTGGCATGGTTTCCTGTCCCGAGAGATCGCTTTGTAAGGCCGGACAAGCAACACCGGTAGAGACGGCGAAAAAGGGTACAAGCGGTTGCCGGTCAAGACCTTGTTACAACGAAGTGTCATCAGTCCGTGGCATACAGCACCAAATGCCTCCACATATTAACGGTAGACAGTTTGGTCTATCGTTGATGTCGGCACAGAAAATCAAACACGCATTGGAGGAAGAATTACTCGCCGATGAAGCCCGAATATCAATTACACATCGTGGAATGGGATTTGTCCGCGCAAAACAGCTCAAGATTTCGCCGTACGAGATCGACAATGTAGCGTGTAAGTCGCTGTCCCATTTGGTTCGCACACGCAACATGAGTGTCGAAGAAGCAACACAATTTATCCGTGGCGAACGCGACAATGACAGAAGGCCGAACAAAGCAATTGACCCAGAACGACTACGTCGCGTACTCAGAGGTTATCCACATCTCGATGACCTAATTAAAATTGCAGAGGTCGGCATCGATGTACAGTGGCGTCAAGGACCGATGAAGAATCGTCCACCTCCTAAGAATCACGGTTCGTGTCGTCGTTATTTGCGCGCGGTGGTCAGGTCAATTCGCGAAGGCCAAGACTCTGGTCAGTATATGGTTGTGGAGGCCGATATCCTCGACCGATGGCCTGAAATTATCTGCAGTCCTTTGGGGGCTGTGGTAAAGAAGCGTGTAGATCCGAACGAGGAAGTTCGCACTATTCATGACTTATCATTTCCGAAGAACGACTCGGTAAATTCCGCGTTGGTAGCGGATTCGATTCCAAAAGTGCGCTATGAGTCGGTCGCGATTATTGCAAGGCGAATTGAGTACTTTACTACATGCGGTTGCACGGAGAGAATTATGATGCTTTCAGGCGATGTGAAGGGTGTTTTTCGGCATTTACGTACCCGAGCTAACCAGGTTTTCCGTATGGCAGCCTTTATCAAGGAGCTAGAAATTATTATTATCGATCTGGCAGCTCCGTTTGGGTGGTCGAGGTCGCCGCCATGCTACGCGATATTTGGCCGGGCAATATCATGGCTCATGGGCTCAAATTCACCTGCGTCAGTGTCCAACAACTCTGACAGCTCGAATGTCGATGCCGACAGCCAGTACCGCCGCGCCTTCTCGTCCTACACGTTCAGCAACTCGTCCATCGTGGACGACAAGGGCCGGCGCGTGACAAGCTCGCGACGCCGCTACGAAGACTCGACGGGCCGTCTGAAAGCGGTGCACGAGCGACAGATCGAGGGCAACAAGCTGCGCACGACCAGATCGAGGGCAACAAGCTGAGCACGACGTGGAGCCGCATGAGCCCCGACACCGAGGGTCGGCACGAAGCCATCTGCTCGAGCGGCACGCCCGACGAGTTCGAGACTCTGTGGCAGCAGACGCCGTTCGGGGAGGCGCAGAAGAAGACAATCAAGGACCAACAGCGCCAGCAGCAGCTGCAACCAGGACAACAGACCAAGACGCTGCAGCAGCACCAGCCTTCGGAGTCGGATGCGGAAAAGGAGGCAACGCCAATGGAGGAGTAAGCTGTAGCTGTAGTTTTTGTTAATTCCTACAAGTCATTATGTTACCTACGTCAATGTTATTGCACTGATTTCGCTTTCGTCGTCCAACTTTTTCGATAATAAACAGAATGAAAAGCTTCTACTATTACTCTACTGTTTAGTTTAACGAGTACTTTTGCATAGCGGTACGGTTCTTCATTGTTTACGTGGATCTGATCCATTGAGACATACGTTGTTGCAGCTAGAATTTCTTTTCAGTTGTCGTCGCCATCGATTCGGGGGGGGGGGGGGGTTGTGCCAACTTGGCACACATTAAGAAGCATGTATTGTTGCGCCTCCGCGGCCAGGGTGTGGCGTGGAGGATGCCCCAAAGCTCGCTACAAGGCAGGCTTCTTCATCATGTCTTTTGCCATTCGCGATGTTAGCCGTCCCCCAATGCGGGTATAACGCTCCACAGCGTCAGACTTCAACCTTCCAAATAACTTGACCGCCAAACTATCAAATCCAGCATTAAAGAGTGCGGTTGCACCTCCACTGCGCAGTGAGTGAGACCCAAAACTTTCTGGATTGTAACCCGCCTGGCTTGCAGCGCATTTGAGCGCCTTTACGACATCTTTGACTTGCATATTTGTAGCCACATTAATCTTGCACAATAGAGTATTTTCTGCAGCACCGAGTGACTTGTGATGCCGAACAAGATTCCATGCTGCTAAAACTGGACAGCACCATTGATACCCTGAACGCTCCAGTCTACGACTGCTTCCATCGCCAAACTGGTCGGACTTACTTCCGCGGAATGTAATCACTACTGCCACCACCTCGTGTAGATTATCAGTCGGTCTCTCGTCGGAATCCACAAATGAAATATCTGACCGCTGTATTGCATACGGCAACACTTTTGCTCCTTGGGCTAAATACTTCGATCTTCTGAGAAGAAAGAAGAAACCCAGCACCGAAGCCGCCCAAATGACTCGGTGCTGGGCGGACTTGAAATTGAGGAGCCCGTGGAGTTTCTTGAGGATATCGGTTGTGACAGGAGATTTTGGGTTACGAGGTTTGTCCTTCCTCCGCATGCCAGTGATTGCAAGTTGGTGTCCTGGTAAGAGTGCGACGCTGAAACCGAGCATCCGTCGATGATGCCACGAGATATGGCTAACTTTCGAGAGTACGGTGCCGGCAGAATTCCCTGATCCTGTGTGTCCCCATCCATAGTTCCAGCAGTGAATAGCGAATAAGGCGAGTTGGTAAAAATGTTTTCGTGGGCTTTCGGGTAGCCATCTCGGGAAGTTAAGCAACTTGCACCATTTACACCATTGTCGCCATGTACTGTTGTACTGCGATGCCGACGACGCGGCCAATGAACAGGATTGAAGCTGTTCGAGAAGTTCATGTAGAGTCTTCTGCATTGCAGCGGCACTGTGCTCTGTGTCCAGCCAGAAGAAAAGTTAGTCCATCTGGTTAAATGAGGTTCGATCCAAGCTCGTGAAGCTGCATCCGCCATCCAATTCGTCGATCCTGGGATATGGTCGGCGGATACACGTAAATTAAAGTACACTTCGGCCAGACCAAGCACCTATTAATTTCTTGGCTGAATGAGTTCCGAGAATGCAGCTTGTTGCACCACGCAACAGCGGAAGTATTGTCACTCCAACATTTTATAAGGAGAAGCTTCCCTTTGGCTAATCGACACCATTTCGCACCCCAAGTCCATAACGTAAGAGCAATACACAAATGCTCACGGACATTGATAGAAAATCCAGATTTGTGTAGCTCGTCAATCATCAATAGTTCTTTGTCATCAAATTGTATCTGAATAAATGCATTAGCCGCAGGATCAAGCACGGCCAATCCAACGTCGGACGCATCCATATACAACTCAACGTGAGGCGCAATCGTCTCCATATTCCGAATATCGTCAACGGTAGCTCTGCTAGGCAGCCATGTATAAGGATTTGGTCGAACCACCGCAAATCGGCTGTTGTGCCACCGGACAGACGTGTTTTGCCAAATCGTGGCACTGCGTTGCATTGAGATTGAATCCGTTGATAAAATGGTTTAGCAGTTCGCAAGCATGTAGCTACGTGTCGAAGAGACCCGAGGACCTGGTAAAATTCTGTTTTCGTAGCCGTGCCTCGATGAAGTATCGCTTGTACGCGTCGGTGTGCTTTAGATATTTTGTCGTTAGGGATTGATACCGTACGCCGCACGGTGTTCCACAATAACCCGAGCGCCACTATCTCAGAGCTCCAGGCTGAGAATTTTGCCTCATTGATTGAGCGAGGTCCAAGAGCGGCTAACATAGCGTGACGAAGTGTTGCTTCGGCTAACTGTAACCTATCACCTTCGTCGGGTTCCACTAAAATATGATCGTCAACCCATTCGTAAGGGGAAAATGGTTCATTGTCCTTGGAATCTGACACTGTTTCGATGCCTTTGTGCTAGTGGTGACCTTGGCCTTGACGGTCTGTTTGTTCGGGTCGTTATCACGGGTCGGAGTCGGGTCGTGCGCTACGTTATCGGTCTCCTTTTCTGTCGGCTGTGTAGCGACCTCGCGGTGCTGCGTCGCCGGTCTCTGCTCGCGCAAAAGCACAGGCAGATCCCGGAAGAATTCGTCGTCGTCAACATTGCTGCGCGCCGCCAGCATCTCGCTGCCCATGTCGAAGGGGAAGCGCGAGCGGCTCATGAGGTTGCTCATGTGCTCGAGGTCCATCATGGACTGCTCCAGAGACGACATGGGATACCATAAGCGCGGTCGGACGAGATCCCACGTGCTGAACATGGCTGGAGAGTTGGTATAGTTCGGGTTGGTAGTGTAGTTGAGCGGTATACGGTGGCTTGGTTAGCCTTGGTTTTGACGTTTGGTTGCTTGTTTGCTCGCTGTGTGCGGTTGCTGGCAAATTCAGAAATGACGTGGTAGCACAGTCGGAGTTAGCGGAGTCTTGCGTCAAAGTCGATAAAAAGGGTCTCGAAGGTTTTAGAAGTGGTCAGAATTTTCGGTAGAAATCTATGACCAGCTGGAATTATTATATTTGACAGAACAGCAGCAAAACAACCCATTTCTATTGGTCAAGAGCAATTTTTGCCAAATTTAAAAAATCTCGACGCGCGGTTGTCAGATGCAAGTGCAATTTAGAAGTTATTGCTCATTCTAGAAGGGCTTGCAAAATCAACGAATGTCAAGCAACGATGGAGTGGCGGAAAGCTATCGGTAGTAGAAAAGGAGAGCCTCGACTTAAATGTACGAGCGAAGTTATTATAAAATCTGGTATCACTACAATCTGTGCTATATCGTGACATACCTACTGCCCGACGCGTTGGATCAGCTGACCCCTAAGTTCACTAAACTGCTGAGCCAGACCAATAAGGACGTGCGCATCATCTGTAACACGTGGGGAGTACGCGACTCACTCCTGATGAGCGCTACGACGTCGGGCCCTACGGCAATGTTCCACTGTTCGTGTACGGAAGCTGCGGTCGCTCTCACACTAGCAAGGAGGAAAACCCAATATACGCATAGATAGAGTCGCTGGAATGCAACAGCAAGCAAAGCAGACACGACTACCCACCGTAGAATACCGTAGAGTTAACCTCTTAACTACACGCCCTGCTTAGTAAAGAGTTATATGAACGTCCTGGTGCTGGTCGTTTATTACTGGATCCTCGTAAGGCGCTAGCACTGCTAGGGTTGCTTTGGTTGCTATGTCCTTACTCAAGTGCTGCCGGATTTGTTGAGGCGGTGCACAACGAACATGCTCGTGTCCAGGTAAGCGAGCGTCACGTTCTTAATACAGTCCTTCTCCTTGGACGAGAGCTGCGAGTCCGGCTTGGTAGCACTGCACTTCCCCCAGGCCAGAGCCGTGATCTTCGAGATAGCCTGTTGGATCAGCGCGCGTTGCTGCTCTTCCATCAGCAGCTGCTGCATTTCTGCGGCGCCAGTAGACGCACCACCAAGGGATGACGGCGGCGCAGACGATGGAGAGTCAAAAGACGACGATACCGCTGACGCGTTGTAGTCGTACGTGGGTTCTTCGTACGAGTACGAATCCGAGGAGGAGGAGGAGGTGAGCTCAGGCTCCTTGCTCTTGCCGAATCCGAAGAAGGACATGCTGCTGCTTAGTGATGATGCGCTTGAGTGGATATAATATGTATCATATTTGACAGAAGCCAGATCAGTTTAAAGAACTGTTTGTATTAAATTGGAGAGCGCCAATTTCTCTGGAAATACACGGGAGGAGACCGGCGACGCAGGTCGCTACACAGCCGCCAGAAAAGGAGACCGAAAAAGTTGCAGGTGGCTCGACTTCGACCCGTGAGAATGACCCGACCAAACAGACCGTCAAGGCCAAGACCACCACTAACACGAAGGCATCGAACAAGAAGCAGAAGCAGCAGTCCGACAACTCTGACAGCTCAAATGTCGATGCCGACAGCCAGTACTGCCGCGCCTTCTCGTCCTACACGTTCAGCAACTCGTCCATCGTGGGCGACAAGGGGCGGCGCGTGACAAGCTCGCGGCGCCGCTACGAAGACTCGACGGGCCGTCTGAAAGCGGTGCACGAGCGACAGATCGAGGGCAAGAAGCTGCGTACGACGTGGAACCGCATGCACCCCGACGACGAGGGTCAGCACGAAGCCATCTGCTCGAGCGGCACGCCCGACGAGTTCGAGACTCTGTGGCAGCAGACGCCGTTCGGGGAGGCACAGAAGAAGACTATCAAGGACCAACAGCGCCAGCAGCAGCTGCAACCAGGACAACAGACCAAGGCGCTGCAGCAGCACCAGCCTTCGGAGTCCGAGGCGGAAAAGAAGGCTATTCCGATGGAGGAGTAAGCTGTAGCTGTGATTTTTGTTATTTCCTACAAGTCATTACGTTACTTACGTCAATGTTATTGCACTGATTTCGCTTTCGTCGTCCAACTTTTTCGATAATAAACAGCATGAAAAGCTTCTATTATTACTCTACTGTTTAGTTTAACGAGTACCTTTGCATAGCGGTACGGTTCTTCATTGCTTACGTGGATCGAAACGCTTCCTTACAGCTTCTCGAGGCAGATAAGCTGTAAGGAAGCGAGCTTTGGATTTACGAAGTTTACTGGTGGATATACGTTTGTAAGAGAAACTAGGTCGTCTGCGACTTTCACAGGAGAATTCAAATACAGTTTTATTCTGTTTCCTTTTCGAGTTTCGATAGGCATAAATTTAAGTTAAAAGATAGTCTAACCGGTGGCTATATCAACTATCAATCGCATCGTCAATGATACAAGGGGACGCCCTACCGGACAACTTGTGCCTGGAGGCACTAAATAAATTTGTGAGGATAAGCATTCTTTCTTCGAATACAATTTTTTTAAATAAATCTATCCGGTCCCCAGAAGCTGCGTCGGAAGCACAAACTGCTTTTCTTGGGCTTCCCGCAGATCCATTTTGCAACTGTCTCTTTTTTTCTTTTGTTGCCAAATTTGTTGAGAACACCCTCCTACTTGATGAAAAATGGTCTGGCGACTGCTTCAGATCCGAATACTTGTGAACACGCGAAAGTATTGCTCAGTGACTGAATTTGCACAATACACCTCACGAATTCTCGGCAATATTTCATATTAGAGCAGTACCCTACCTGCGTTCACGGCCTAACCAAATGAATCCCCGTATATATGTTTATTTGAAAACGTACAATACGTGACTTTTTGCTTTCATTTTTCTGTGATTGTTAGCAAATGCCCGAGCTGTACTGCTTCTCCGGGGCGTCTGAACAATACGCCAAAGACCGAGAATCTTTTCGTCAACAAATCACGAATTGATCATACTCATCCATTGAGAAATACGTTTTTGCAGCTAGAATTTCTTTTTTTGCCGGTGACACGAATGTTGACCCAGGTTACATTACGCGTTTCGATCTACACTGTAACGTGAAATTAATCCGGAGTGGGCTGTCCATACTTCTATGAGGCATTCCCAGTATAAACAAAAAATAAGGTAATAGATCCTTATATAAGAAACTACGATCTGGATTTGATACGATTTATGTCTTGGTCATGAGGCAGTCAGGCTATGTATGCAAGGTTTGTACGCCTGGTTTCCAAACGTGCAACTTGCTAAACTTGATGATACCCTCGCGAAACTGCATCTACTTCATGGATCATGCATCGAGCCAAAGACAAACCACGTTTGTATTTTTTGTCTCTCCTGTTCGAATACTTCGCTCCTGGTCGAGTAAATGTTCCCACGTGTAAAAGAGTCCCCAACAAAGGTAGCCTGCGATCAGAAGATTCTTAAGAACCTACCATTTAGAGAACGGCTACTCTTACCGAATTGACCGCTACGTCCTTACGAATAGCACATACTGTAATGGTACCAGATTTTACAGCAACTTCGCTAATACATTCAATTCGATGCTCTTCTTATCCACTACCGATAGCTTCCGCCACTTCATCGTTGCTTGACATTCGTTGATTTGGCAAGCCCTTCTAGAATGAGCAATCGCTTCTAGAATGCAGTCGCATCTGACAATCGCGCATCTAGCTTTTTGAGAGCTGGCAAAAATAGTTCTCGGGCAATAGAAATGTGTTTTGCTGCTGCTCTGCCAAATTTATTAATTCTAGCTGGTCATAGATTTCTACCGAATATTCTGACCACTTCTAAAACCTTCGAGACCCTTTTTTATCGGCTACGTTGAAGTGGAAGATCGCAAGACTCCGCTAACTCCGACTGTGTTACCACGTCATTTCTGAATTTGCCAGCTACTGCACACAGCGAGCAAACAAGCAACCAAACGTCAAAACCAAGGCTAACCAAGCCGCCGTTCACAGCTCCCACTACACTACCAACACGAGCTATACCAACTTTCCAGCCATGTTCAGCACGTGGGATCTCGTCCGACCGCGCTTCTGGTACCCCATGTCGTCTCTGGAGCAGTCCATGATGGACCTCGAACACATGAGCAACCTCATGAGCCGCTCGCGCTTCCCCTTCGACATGGGCAGCGAGATGCTGGCGGCGCCCAGCAATGTTGACGACGACGAATTCTTCCGGGATCTGCCTGTGCTTTTGCGCGAGCAGAGACCGACGACGCAGCACCGCGAGGTCGCTACACAGCCGACAGAAAAGGAGACCGATAACGTAGCGCACGACCCGACTCCAACCCGTGATAACGACCCGAACAAACAGACCGTCAAGGCCAAGGTCACCACTAGCACGAAGGCATCGAACAAGAAGCAGAAGCAGCAGTCCGACAACTCTGACAGCTCCAATGTCGATGCCGACAGCCAGTACCGCCGCGCCTTCTCGTCCTACACGTTCAGCAACACGTCCATCGTGGACGACAAGGGCCGGCGCGTGACAAGTTCGCGGCGCCGCTACGAAGACTCGACGGGCCGTCTGAAAGCGGTGCACGAGCGACAGATCGAGGGCAAGAAGCTGCGTACGACGTGGAACCGCATGCACCCCGACGACGAGGGTCAGCACGAAGCCATCTGCTCGAGCGGCACGCCCGACGAGTTCGAGACTCTGTGGCAGCAGACGCCGTTCGGGGAGGCACAGAAGAAGACTATCAAGGACCAACAGCGCCAGCAGCAGCTGCAACCAGGACAACAGACCAGGACGCTGCAGCAGCAACAGCCTTCGGAGTCGGAGGCGGAAAAGGAGGCAACCCCGATGGAGATGTAAGCTGTAGTTGTGATATTTGTTTTTTTCTACGAGTCATTACGTTACCTACGTCAATGTTCTTGCACTGATTTCGCTTTCGTCTTCCAACTTAGCTTCTCGAGACAGATAAACTGTAAGGAAGCGAGCTTTGAATTTACGAAGTTTACTGGTGGATATACGTTTGTAAGAGAAATAAAGCAACCTCATAAAAATCTACGATCTGGATTTGGTTACGATAAATTTCCTGGTCATGAGGCATTCAGGCTATGTTCCAAAAGGCTGGTACGCTTGGTTTCCAAACTTCCAGCTTGCTAAACTTGATGATACCCACGCGAAACTGCATCTACTTTATGGATCATGCATCGAGCCAAAGACAAACCAAGTTTGTATTTTTTGTCTCCATTACTATCCTGTTCGAATACTTCGCTCCTGGTCGAGTAAATGTTCCCACGTGTAAAAGAGCCCCCAACAAAGGTAGCCTATGATAAGAACATCCTTACGAAAAATATCATTTAGAGAACGGCTACTCTTACCGAATTGACCGCTAAGCCTTACGAATAGCACAGACTGTAATGGTACCAGATTTTACCTAATGCATTCAAGTTGAGGCTCTCCTTTTCTACTTCCGATAGCTTCCGCCACTTCATCGTTGCTTGACATTCGTTGATTTGGCAAGCCCTTCTAGAATGAGCAATCGCTTCTAGAATGCAGTCGCATCTGACAATCGCGCATCTAGTTTTTTGAGAGCTGGCAAAAATAGTGCTCGGCCAATAGAAATGGGTTGTTTTGTTGCTGTTCTGCCAAATATATTAATTCTAGCTGGTCATAGATTTCTACCGAATATTCTGACCACTTCTAAAACCTTCGAGACCCTTTTTTATCGGCTACGCTGAAGTGGAAGATCGCAAGACTCCGCTAACTCCGACTGTGTTACCACGTCATTTCTGAATTTGCCAGCTACTGCACACAGCGAGCAAACAAGCAACCAAACGTCAAAACCAAGGCTAACCAAGCCGCCGTTCACAGCTCCCACTACACTACCAACACGAGCTATACCAACTTTCCAGCCATGTTCAGCACGTGGGATCTCGTCCGACCGCGCTTCTGGTACCCCATGTCCAGTCCATGATGGACCTCGAGCACATGAGCAACCTCATGAACCGCTCGCGCTTCCCCTTCGACATGGGGAGCGAGATGCTGGCGGCGCCCAGAAATGTTGACGACGACGAATTCTTCCGGGATCTGCCTGTGCTCTTGCGCGAGCGGAGACCGTCGACGCAGCACCGCGAGGTCGCTACACAGCCGACAGAAAAGGAGACCGATAACGTAGCGCACGACCGGACTCCGACCCCGTGATAACGACCCGAACAAACAGACCGTCAAGGCCAAGGTCACCACTAGCACGAAGGCATCGATCAAGGAGCAGAAGCAGCAGTCCGACAACTCTGACAGCTCGAATGTCGA